AATAGGAGAAATGCCGATATTTCTTCCATAATCTTGATCATAGAATACCATGGAATGTATTCTCTCTCTTGTAATAGATAAGACGTAAAATTTTTGAAAATAGCGAAGTCAAGTTTGCCTCTTACTAAGAAATAATAAGCGTCATCGATAAGCTGAGCGCGATTAAGTGTAGGTACTGCAGAAATATATGTTGTATTTATAGTTTTCAAAATATTGTTCCAATTATATTTGTCGTAATAAACTCGATAGTATCCTGTAATATATAGTAACATAAACAAATTACATTTATATGTAAAAATGTTACTTGAATAGAATTGACACAGAGATAAAATAAATATATTTACCAGTTTGATGTAAGTTGACGAGAATCCAAACATTTTTAGAAATATTTGTTACATATATAGACTTCTCTGAACTTAGCCAGTCTCTAGATTCATGGCTCATATTATAATTATTCATCGGAACATAAATTACATGTATCCACATATTTTGAGGATACGGTTTGAAATATTTTTTCGACAAACTTATCTCGATCTCGTTTTTAAAAGAAATTCGTGTTACATTCAGTACAGGATAGCGTTTTTGAGTTGCCCAATTACTTAACTGGACTAAGTCACTTTTTATATCTGCTCTGATTATTTCCTTTCGTAAAATACTCAAGAATCTTTGGAATGTATTATCCCGAGAACTGAAAAATCTAAACTTGCTAAATCAAAAAATTTCATATTAAATTTTATAACAAGCCATTCAAAAAATATAATATTATTTCTGCTTTTATTTCTATGTTAATTTTATTCAATGTATAAAAATAATATTTATTTTTATATCCATTTAATTCTGTATATAGCATATAATTAAATGTAACTAATATGATTATTACTCACTATAACTGTATATATTTACCGACACTCTTCATAAACACGAATCGATGCGTTATATGTGACAACGTGTATATAAGAACTGGTGCTATAATCGGTACAGCACATTAGAAATCATATTTAAAATAAATTTATTTTTGTAAATTTGGAAATGTACAACTAGTTTCGTAAAGAAAGGTATGTTTTAAATTTCAATTATGTATATATATATATATATATATATAATTATTTTTCTCTTTATGTAACAAAATTAATCTATATATTTATATTGAATACCAAACAATTTTTCTCACAATTATTACACAATTATTATACAATATTTTATATATTTTTATAATAATTATCTATTTCTATTTATCACATTTAATACTTTTAAAAGCTAATGTTTAATAATATTTAATATTACCTTTAACATAATGAGTAAAAGAGAAAAGTGATGCAATATCAGATGTTTCATTAATATTTGATACAAGAGGCATATCATAATGATCATTTAAACGAAGAGATTCATGTAGAAATTGTACTACAAATAAATACATTGAGTAGGAATTTGGCATAATCTAAAGGGAGAAGTTTAAATATGATTATTATTATATATTGCCAAAGTATTTTACTAAATTACTTTATAATCTAAATGTATAATAAAATTTTCTAAATTGACACACATGTCAATATAAATTAATTAAAGAAATATTATTTAACAAAAATATTTATTTATTTTAATTTTAACATACGTGAATTTCTTAATTCAATATTGCAGTCATAAAAATTTTTAAACTTAAAAGCATTAATGTTTATTAATAAATTTAAGAGATAAGTATAATTTATAAAGATTCGAAAAATTTCTATATAACAATAAGCATTTTCTTTAATTTATATTACGACACATATAGTTTATAAGAAAATTACCTCGCTGAGTATATGTACTCCCAAAAACGTTGCAATACCTTCATTTAACCATATATAAGACCACGAAGACTGATCGACAATGCTAATAGCTTCATATACTACTTTACGTGCTACTACAAATGCCGTTTTTATTTGACATCCAATAGGATCCAATAGGATCATAAAATTCATCGTAAATAATATCCGTCTCACTGAAAAATGATTACATAATCCGATTAAAGGAATGTTTGAGTATTAAGTACGTTGTCCAAGTCTTTACTTTGAAAATTTTCTAATTTAAATATCTATTTTCAATTATTTGCAAACAGTATACCTATAAAGAATGAGTCCCAAACTTCCCAAGCCTTCGTTTCGAAAACCTGGGATTACGACATGGTCTACTTTTAACGAATATTTCGAGATATTCAATAGAACGGGGAAATACGACGTGACAGATATGGCAACCTTCTGAGCAAATTTTATCCGTTCTGTCATTTGTTCTCTATGCAACATACTAATGATACCGCCTCGATCATTGGAGACAACAATTTGTTCCAGATTGGCCAATACAATCGCTATGTGGTAAAAAGATATATAATTATATGAATCGAAGTACGTCCAAACCATGTCGTTCCCTTCCACTGTTGAAACTTGCTCAGTCATTGCCACGTTCGACAAAGCTTTGTACTTTTTATGGTGTTTTATAGCAAACATAAAGTGAGTCTGGATATTTGGCTTGTCCCAACACGGAAATATCTGCCGGGCCCCAGGTCCTTGGAAATTGGCTGCTGCGATCACCCACCTATCACATTTTAATTTCAAGTCTAAAAGGCAGTATGTCTTAGATTTTTAATTACTATTGGCATCCAAGAATTAAAAATTAGAAAACATTTTAAATTCGGCTTGTGACAATTCGTAAATAATATCTGACGTATATCTTTTATTATGCTGTTATGACATACTACATATTTTACATGATAATTCAGATTAACGTAGTATAGATAAATGTAAAATAAATTGAGCAATTAGCATTTTATGTAATAATTTTCATATCTAGTTAATGTATTTACAAATTTATTAAATTTATACTCACGATTTTTGTCCCTTTCTATTTACGTAAGATGTTTTAAAGAAACCTCTTGATTTATCAGATATACTACCGACAAATTTCATAGTTAGCGAATATAGACTACGTGGTAAGAAATCATCAACAAAATAAATAGTAACTGTTTGCATTTTATCATCATACGTATGTAGCGTAGGTTTATAAGTGTAGTTAGTAAGTTTATCACTCTTAGAATTAGCTATCGCATGCGCGATCGTTGCCGTTTCATCTATTGCCAGATTTAATACGTTCAAACGCAATATATTTGTTCTAATGTCAACATTAAAAAGTACAGTGGATTCGCCATAAAAAACGAAATTATCTTTTGCTCGTTGCTCATCAAAATAAGCTTTAAATGTATTATAAATATTTGTGTTCTTGTAATCATCTTCGTTGATGTATGGTGTTAAGTAGACGTAAAATTGAATTGGTGTCACTACCGCCGTGTATGCAAGATAATATACTTCAGTCTTCGAATTATCATTCATCTCCGAATCGTCATTGTATGAATCATTCTTAAGAGCAGCGGCAAATATTAGATTAATATTTAAAAATAGTATTAATAATGCTGTAGTGATTTTCATTTCCGATATCTCTGACGATGTTCGATAAAATTTAT